GTGTTGTATATATACTCTTTAAAATGATGGTTCTTCAAGGTTCTTTAGTAAAGAAAATGATTCTGTATAGAACCACGAACACTCAAAGAACCCTTTGATTATTTGACGATTAAAGGGCATTGTGAAAGTGTTCTTCAGACTGTTGGAAAATGCGCTGTAGATAGTTCTATATAGAACCTTTTTTAAAAGGGTTCTATATAGCACCAAAAGGGGTTCTACTATTGTTACAGGCTTGACATCATAACAATAAAAGAACCCTTTTTGGTGCTATATAGAACATTCTCCACACCTCTTTCATCATGCAAAGGGTTCTTTAAGTGTTCATGGTTCTATAGAGAGCCATTTTTTTGTTTACTGAAGAACCCCTGAAGGATTATCATTTTCAAGCTTTGATTCCACCTTCATGAAAACAATTCTATAGAGCACCAATAAGTCTTCTGCTATTATTACGATGGCAAGCTTGTACAATAGAAGAACCCTTTTGGTGCTATATAGAACCATATACAGCTCATTCTCCATCAATCTGACAAACTACTTCATCATGCAAAGATCCACTGAAGAATGAAATGGTTCTATATAGAACTCATGGATCTAGAACCCTTGAAAAAAAACATTTTTAAGAGTGTAGACTACAGACCAAAGGTGACGTATGTTCTCACTCCTCCCAACCTCAAAAACAAAAAGTTTACCAGACTTTGGTTCTAGCAATATATTTTGTTGCCAGTTTTGTTGTTTGTTGTCTATTAGATTCTTAGCATTTGCTTTTACAGTGAAGAGGGAAAAAAAGGATTTTTTGTAAATAGTCAATATACAGTACTGTGCAAAAGCAACTATTTGAATTAAAAATCTGGGCAGCAAACAATATTTGCTCAGAAAAATACTAATATTAGAATAAATACAAATATAAGTAGCGTTGTATGTATGTTAGTATAAGTAGTTTTATGTATGTTAATGTATTCATATACATTTTTTTCAGATCTCTCCCTCCTCTCCAGTTCCTGGTTTGACTAATCAACTCTTCATCTATGCTCAAGTGTTCTGATGTGCTGGCTGGAGACACTTGGAACCAAACTTTGTTCATCAAACTAGCTCACAAGATCAAGTACTTTTTTGAAAACATGAAATTCTTGTTACTTTTTACTGTATTTGGGTTTTTTGCATTTATTCTAATGACTTTTGCACACTACTGTAATTCCAGTCCATATATCCACTTCAAATGTACACATGCTTTTTGGCGTTATACTTAAAATATAAGCAAAATTATGTATCCATAAACATAAACAGAGACATGTAAAAGTCAATTGAAAGGGAAAAAAAGTATTCAGACACCAGAAATGTATAGCATTAGCACTTTGTTGTGATGCCAGTGTTAGAAATTACAGCTTTGAGGCATCTACAGTAAGAAATAATGAGCTTTTGCAGCTTTTTAGTTCAATTTTGGCTCATTCCTCTTGGCAAACAGTCTTCAATTCCCCAAAGTTACGAGGGTCCCTCTTTTGGAGATGCGCTTTCAAAATTCTCCAGTTTTCAATAGAATTCACGCGATGCAAGCACCTTGTAACGGGACAGAACCAGCCAGACACTGGCGGTAAAAAGCAAGAAATGAGGCTTTACTTGAAAAGGGTTTGACACTACTCATAGTCGGTAGACAGGCGGTGGTTCAATCCAAAAAGGCCAAAATACAGAGAATGACAAACATAACAAACAATATCAGGAAACCAGATCCAAAAGGGCAAAGACAAAAAGGCAAAGTCAGGAAATCCAAAAAAACAGTCAGGAAACCACAAAGGCAATATAACAGACAAAAACGCTCAGTAGCTCTACAGGGAGATGCAATATCTGCTAAGAACTTATACTGAAGCCCAGGCTTAAATATAAAGCTAGATCTAGTCATGTGCTACACATATAACAGGTGAAACAGGTTAGTGAACTGGAACGGTGATTGGTGGCTTGTGGAGGTTCATCAGTCATGTGATTTCCCAGAAAGTTTTGGGAAAAGTTTTGAGTCTTTACATCCCTCAGAGCCAGAGGAATGCATGAGACACCTTCACCTTCTCTTTCAGAAACCAGTTTTGAGTTAATTTGGCTGTATGTTTGGGTTTGTTCAAATGTCCATCTTCATGCAACAGTACTGTTGGCAGTGATGCTCCCACCTCCATACTTCACTGTAAGTGTGGTGATCTTAGGATCATATGTGTTTCTCCAAACATAATGAGCTGAATTATTGCCAGAGAGTTCTAAGTTTGTTTAATTTGACCAGATTATATTTTAATTTCATTGAGTGAGTGACAATTTGACATCATATGAAAATGAAACATGTAAATTCAATAAAGCTAAATATAAGTGAAGAGACTGGGGTTCTTCAAAAGATGGTTGACAGTCCGGATAAAGCCCAAACCCACAGGCTCTCCGGGCAACTTCAACAGCCCTGATGAAAGTGCCATTTGTTCAGTGTGTGGGAGAGGTTATTTAGTGGCCCTGCTTTTCTCCCTCTACTCAAGGCTCCATCAAGAAGCCTTATCTGAAACACTTCAAGCCAGTTGGCCAAGCCAAGCCCCAGCACGAGAGGAGGGGGGCTGATGGTGGCATTCCACGCTTGGGAAAATGTTTGTGTTTGGCGTTTAACTCTCAACTATCAAAACTACCTCTTCTCATTTCCATTTGCAGTCAAACTCTAGTTTTTTGCTAACTAGAAGGGGTTGCAGAGCACCTCATATTATGAACAATGGGGGTAAATGACAAGACCTAGACCCAGAGTATTTGTGCCAGAGTCTCATTGCCATATCACTCTCACGTAGCATGTTATTTTTGCAAGCAAAACAAACTCCACCAATCTCTGTTGTTGGCATATCAACAGGTATGTCAGCAATTCAGAACAAAAGTCAGAAGTTTTGTCCTCTGCTTCGTCTTGTATGGTATGCATTTCCTGAAGCAGCTCAAATTGGACAGACAACCAAACTATTGCAAAGCGCTCAACGTTTCAGCTCCTGCATGAGGGGGTTAAACTCTCCTTGCTGCTTTTGCTTTTCCGAAATGGAAGGTAGTCTACACCGTGTAGGGTCATCGCCTCAGCCCTGTAAAATTCTTGTATTACTGACTTTTTTTTTACTAATTTAACTGTGCTTGCATTGTCAGTTCAGCTACAGAACCAGATAGTTTCAATTATTGTGTTGCAGTGCTGCCTAGTGCATGAACATCACCAGCAATGCACCTTTCTCTAACAACTGTCCCCTAATCTGAACTAATTGCACCCATTCTTTGTATACAAATTGTTTGATTGAATAGAAAATGCAGTTTAAACTTCGTAGAAAATGCTTAGACATGAAAATGCTTGGATTCTGAGACATTTTGTGTCCAGGAATGGAATTAATTTTTTCCGTGGACAGAAATCCAAAATCCTGAATGGATGGGAGCCCTAACCCCTTGGCACCCTTTGCCTTTTTTGTGAGGAGCAAAGGGTATCTTTGCTGCTTGAACACATTCTGTCTATTTGTTCATTCTTTTTTTCCCATTAAAAAAATAAAATAAAATGTTGAATTGCATAGTTTTGGCAGACAGTTATATGTCACTGATGTCTAAGATGGTGGGGCCCAAAACTCTTAGACCCTATTGAAAGTCTGGGATTTTTTTTTTTGTTTAAACTTAATGTATGATATGTCTACTGGACCCCTGGAAGAATAGCGGCTATCACAATAGCAGCTAATGGGGATCCTAAAAATAAACAATAAACAATCTCAGTCCATCTTAAATAAGCTTGGACCCAGAGAAGGCAGCAGCGTTTCTGGATGCTGTTTATATATGTTTTCGTCTTTGCATGATAGAGTTTTAACTTGCATTTGTGGATGCAGCAACAAACTGTGTTCACAGACAGTGGTTTTAGGTAGTTTTCCTGAGCCCATGCAGTGATGTCCACTTCAGAATCATGTCTGTTTTTAATGCAGTGTGGCCTGAGGGCCCGGAGATCACAACCATCCAATATTGTTTGTTGGCCTTGTCTCTTGCATCCTTGCCTGGATTTTCTGAATCCTTTAATGATATTATGTACCGTAAATGATGAAATTCACAGATTTTTGCTATTTTACATTGAGAAATGTTATTGTTGAATTGCACTATTTGCCTGCACAGTCTTTCACAGAGTGGTGAACTCCATCTTAACTCCTGAAAAACCCAGCCTTTCTGGGATGCTCTTTGGAAGATGTCCCACCAGGTTTTTTTTCCCATTTTACAACTTTATCAGTCATTTGTTGCCCCATTACAACTTTTTTTAAATGTGTTTCTGGCATCAAATTCAAAATAGGCATATATTTTTCAAAAAAGAACAGAATTTCTCAGTTTCCAAATCTGATATGTTGTCTTTGTACTATTTTTAATCAAATATAAGGTTTAAATTATTTGCACTTCATTGCATTTTGTTCTTATTCACATTTTGCATGTGGTTCAAACTTTTTTGGAAACAGTGTTGTATGTGAATGTGTCATATCTGGTTCTATATAGAAACTTTTGGAAAATAGTTCTATGTAGCACCAAAAAGCGTTCTATTGTTCCATTCTTTCAAGCTTGACATCGTCATGATAGCAGAACCCTTTTGGAGATATATAGAACCATTTTCAAAAATATTCTATGTAGAATCACATACAACTAATTTTTCATTAATCTGAAGAACTATTTCACGATGCAGAGAACTCTTTAAGCATACAAATGGTTCTTTGAGTGTTCATGGTCTGATAGAATCACTGTCTTTACTAAAGAACCCTTGAAGAACCACTTTTTTAAAGAGTGCAGTCTCATGTTTACTGATGCGCAATTCATACATCCACTCAGCCCTGTGCCCTAATTATAATTCAGTTTCAATGGTGGGTTACAGCCAGACCAACATCACAAGAAAGGGTGAGTTCACCCCCCGAATCTTCACTGTTGACCAAGTTTGTCCAGCCCCTCCTTCACTCTGGGTTTGGAATCTCCTCCCCTTACTGGCTGCTGAAGGCAGCATCACCTCCACGGCTCAGCACACTCTATCAGCAGCACAGCCAAGTTCTACTGCTGCTCCAGCTCAGTCTTCCAGCATCAGCACAGAGAGGAGGTCGAGGGTGTAGAGAAGGGTAAGTGCCAAAGCTGTGTTTAGCTGAGTAGAAATCTGTTTCGGACCACCTGCATGTTGTTTTAGAATCCATGGTGCATTTTTAAGCATGTAAATTGTTGTTTGAGGAAAATATTCCAAAGATATTGATGGGAATGTGTTCCAATTTGTTTCAAACTAGAAAAAACAAACTTTGCTTTTAGTTTTCAGCACTTTTGGTTTAGCAAGATGTGGAACAGTGCTGCTGCTAAACTACAAAATAAGTTAAATAAGTTAGAAAACCACCTCAAGAATTAGAAAAGTGCCGGAAAATGGCAGCTTTTGCACTGTTTTGCTTCTGTTTTGCTTGTGAGCAGTGGGAACTCATGTCAAATTAATGTAATCATTGTTTGGAAGTGGCACGTTCCCTGACACGTTGAAAAGGAGCCAGATGCTTGGCACAGAAGAGCAGGGCGCTTCAGTTCTGTAGTGCTAATTCTGTCAATGCGCATTTGCATCGGACTGAATATACATAGTGGCTCCATCTAATTGTCTTCCACAGCTGATTACGAAGGCACATGTGCACCTGTAGGGTCAGAAGCCGTTTTTTTTTGTTGTTGAAGCGGCTGTCAGGCTGAACGAACCTTGATCAGCTTTGTTATTTTCATGTCTTCATTCAAAGAACTGGCTTTTGTATTCCTTTTCACTTTCATGTGCAAAGGTTGAACTGTTTTGCTTGGAAGGCATGCACTCATATATTAGCGGTTGCCATGCAGAAGCCACAAAACAGGGAAGCAAGCGGTGATTTGTTAAAGTTTCAATCATATTTTACAGTTAAGTCAATTTTCCCAGCAACCAACATCACTGACATCCAATGGGTTTTCCAGAACGTTGTACTGGTTTGCAGTGATGTATCCTTACTCCAGTATATTATATGGAAAAAGCTTTATATTCTTAGTTGTTAATTTTTTAATTACTCTCAAACTCCACATGTTTCACATCTGAAGCCATCAGGAGCTTCTGAAAGGGGGAACTGGTTGGATCTGATTATCCACTTTCACAGTGGCCATAAAATGCTCTGTCCCCCTGTTTTGGAGAAGGTCACTTGGGTGAACTGTGCCTAAAAATGACTAGAAATATAAAAGTGCCTAGAAATATAATGTGACGGAAAAGTCTATGATTTCCAAAACTTCATAGGTGGGCAAGCAAGTCAGCATTAGTAAGTGTTTTTATTGTATTTAAATGCTGTTTTTTATAGTAGCGTTTTGGGGTGGGCAAAATGACCTGATTTTGTCATTATTGTGATAAATAAGCACGCTTTTCTGAGCATATCGCGGATGTCACCAGTACTCAAAGAACCATGACTGGTGTAGGTTTATTGATATTAGTACTAGTATTATATTATTTTTACTTGTGGCACTACAGGTTCTACTTTGTCTGTTCCAAACTTATTAAATCTCAGGAAAAAATATCATGATGCTTAACGTACATCATGTAAATCTCTAGAAGTATCGTGATATAATATTTTTGCCACATCGCTCACCCCTAGTGGCAGTACATGATTTTTTGACATGAAGAAAGCTATTAATTTATTTGTTGTCCATTTTATCTTGGCAAGTATGTCTTTATGGAAAATTGTGAATAGTTTTCACTGCAGGGGGTTCTCACTCCTCAATTTTTACTCCGCATTGCTCACTAGCAGCTCAACACAGAGTCACAATGTTCCACACACAGCAACAGTGTCCTAGTTAAACTTCAGTTTTGTTTCATTATTTTAAATAAGCAATTTTCGAGTGAACGTACATGTTGGTTCTGGAATATTCCATTGGTTCCCAGTGCTGTAATCTTACTGTAGCAGATTCTGTGGGACACTCTTCGGCTGTTTCTTGATTCGTTCAGTTTATCTGTATGTAGTGAATTAGATGGGCAGTGGGGAGGTCCATGGCACCAGGAAAACTGTAGCAGTGCTGACTTAATTATGTGCAACACGCATGTGTAGACAGCATGTAACAATGTAGTATCAACAAAATGGACTGGACAACTCACCCATCATATTGTGCTTGGCCGTATTATCATTCTGGGGACTAACTACCACAGTGCTATAGTATTTCCGATGCTACAGGGGTCCAGTTTTTTTGTTAGCACCTTGCTAACAGTGGTGCATGTAAGCATTTCATTGCATCTATAGCTAAAACACAGTCAGTGCTTCACTTTGACATTCAGACAACATGGTTTTACTTTGTACATTGCCCTTGTAGAGTGACTCTTTCATAAAGATTTAAACTTAAAGCTTGTTCTAGTATTTCTAAAGAAGTCTTCTAGCCTGTTAGCTGTCTGCTAACTCTGTCATGTTTTAAGGTGCAGTTTGTACGATTTTTAGTTAAAACATTCCAGAATTGACTGAAATTATAAGAGAATATGAAGAAATACCAGTTTTGATGTTACAGAGATATCTATTGAAGTTAGCATGCTAACCTGCTAGCCCTGGACCGTCCTGTCTCGTAATACTACTTTGTACCTCATGAGGCTATAATAAGTCACTGTAACATGGAGACTGCCGTCAGCCCAACATGAAACCACATTGAGCAGTAAAGATAAGAAGCGACATAAATAGAAGCAAAACAAGAGTTAACATTGGCGTTGCTTCCCACTGCTGGAGACAGCTCTTGGTAAGTAAAGTGATGAAGGTTGATGCTGAACTTGCAACATTTCTTCTAGACTAGTAAGGAGGGCGAGAAGTGAAGAGGGAGGGACTGTACATTTCCTTGCTTCTTACGTTAGGGGTGGACACCGCAACTTTCTGGTGATATGTTGGCCCCTATTTGTTTGGAGTGTGGAGTATGAATTGGACAGGTTGCGTCATCTTACATCTTGCTCCTTTAATTCATAGCGTAGATAAGCAAAGCGCAACATTTATGAATCATAACATGTTATGGACTGTTCTGTTAGGTAACCATAGCCTTAGTCATCAAGTAGCAATCGTGGTGCTTCCTAAAGTTCTCAAGGACACTCGAATGGAAAAAGCTATAGAGGAAGCAGGGGTTAGAGTAGCAGGAAAACTTCAGCTATCAATCAGTTGGACACTATTGCTACAGATATTTAGTCCAAACATTTTGTTCTATGTCTAATAAACTTCTAAATGTGTTCTAAAAAACTTCTAAATTTTCATTCTTATTTGAACAAAAGTAAGTACTGCTTACTGCTTGGCCTATATAATGTCTAACACCTCTCATCTCTTGGAAAGACCTTCTCAGATCAGGAAGTTTTGGGGTCACCCTGTCCAGCCGTGCTCCGCTAATTCTTAGAGAGGAGGCGAGAGGTAACGCCAGCGTCCACAAGACAGCAGCCATGACCAAAAGCAACGGGGAGAACCCACGCTCGCGCAGCCGGGTGCAGCGAATCCGCGAAGGGATCCACTTGCGTTCTCTGAAGGCAAAGAAGAAAGTGGAGGACATCACCAAGGACGATGTGAAGACCTTCCTGAAGAGGAATGCTTTTGTGCTGTTCACCATTGGAGCAGTCGTTATTGGCAAGTGCATCCTGCAATTGTTGGCTTGTTATTAAGTTGCTCATCTTAAGTCTTATTTTCCAGGAGCTACTCTAAATTATTCAGTAACTACTAAGAAACTAAAACATAAAGGTATTTACGAAAGGTACTAGAGATCATTAGAGTGTAAAGCATTTAAGAGGTTAATACTGGGCGGTAGAATTATATAATATTTTTAAGCAAGTAGAGGCAGAAGTAGAAGCAGCAGTAGAAGTTATTGAACCCAGTAAACTGCATGTGTGGGCCCAGATGTAAGTTCTACACCCCCATAACTACTTTAACTTACATTACATTAGCTTGACTACATCAACTTAATGAACATATATAACTTTTTAGTTTTATAGAAGTTACAGACTTATATTAATAACTATACCAAAGTAATAACTGAACAACAAATTTGAAGTTTAAGGAGTTAAAGTTCAAATTCAACCACAAGAATCAATGGTGCAGTCTAAAAGATTATATTTCAAGAGGTCAGTTTGAAGGACCCACATCATGGGTAACTGAATTTCCTTCCCTTTTTTTAAATGAAAGAGTTTAAAGCAATATGAAAACATGGTTAAACTTTCAAAATGTACAAATCAGTCCATGGAAAATACATTTAAACGAAGCTGCAAAAACTGTTTTGAATTCATCGTTTGTGTGATGTCACAAGAACTTATTTGCATATATCCACCTATTCAGCCTACAGCAGTTTAGCTCCACCCATTCACACTGAAGTTCTAAAGAGTGTTTCAGCTCTGAGAGTTTTTCAAATGACACGCAATACAGAACAGCCAATCAGAGCAGAAGTCTTAAAGGCACAGTAACAAAAAGTGCTGTTTAATTCAAAAGGACTAAAAAGAGGTTGGAAAGAGGTCATTATGGTATATAAAACCACATAAATGTTACAAGGAAAAAATTTCAATGCAGGAAAAATGTAAGATATGGGCCCTTTAAAACTCTGCGTGGTGCTTTAAAGGGTCATTCCAACGATTTGTCAAACAGTTTGGCTTAATTAACTCATTAAGATGAAAATAAAGTCATTCAGACTGGCCCAATGTGAAATGCTCCATTAAAGAGAAACTTACCCAGTTAGAATTGTTCACAGTGGTGGTGATAGGAACCAGACGGCTGAAGAAGTTTAATATCTCTAAAAGCTACATCACAGAAAGTTATTATATGGATTGGTTATGAATACACCGCCTAATGTCTGAGAGGTTGTTTGATATGATTTTGGTCTGAAATGTATCTTTTATAAATACAAAAAGAATGTATGCAAAAAGAAAACATATTTGGTAAGATTTGCTACTATTTTATCTTCAGCATTACACATAAAAACTCAGAACGCACCTGTGGGTTCACTGGTTGTTTTGGATGGTAAATAAAATGGCTGTATTTGTGGTGCAGACAGGTTGACCCCTGGTTCCTATCACCACCACTGGAAAGAAATCAGAGTCTGTAGGTTTCTTTACAATATACCATTTCACACTGGACCACTTTGAATGATGTTTACATCTCAATGGCTGAATTATGCGGAAATTAAAAAAAAACGATGAAATTCCCCTAATATATTCTAGCGAAGCCCTACTGAGCAGTGTAAAAGGACCACACTGTGCTTGGATTGATCTGTAAGGGCTGATTCAGCACCCACTAGAGGCAAACAATGGCTATGACACGAGGCCTGGAAAATACTTATGGCTAAGATTAAGTGGCACCACACGATATGCGAAGATGAATGATGGAAAACTCTAAGCTGCACAAAATAATGAACAAAATGAACAGATACCATCAGCCCATCAGTAATCGGCACACAAGTAATCTGAAACATGATCAATTCAGTGAAAGTTGTGAGAGTTGTGAGGTTCTATTAAAGCTCTGTCTTTACCAGGCATCATGCTGGGATTTGCGCTGCGGCCGTACCGGATGTCCTACAGAGAGGTGAAGTACTTTTCCTTCCCCGGAGAGCTGCTGATGCGCATGCTACAGATGCTGGTGCTGCCCCTGCTGGTGTCCAGTCTGATCACAGGTGGGTATTACAGAGTAATAACACCAACATCTTTGTTTTGTCACCAAAGACTTCACATTTTCCAATAAAATGCACTTTACAATGATTTTATGACCATTAACTTAAAGGTTCCATCTCACGGAAAAAAACAAAGTTTCCTCACTTTTTGGCAAAAAGAGTTTAAAGACAGATGTAAACATTGCTAAAGTTTCAAGACAGACTGTTCACAGCCTGCATACAGTCCATGTATGGAAACAAATGGCTTGTTTTGAGTTTCTTCTGCATTGAAAAAATAGACCATAAATTGGCAAAATGATTACAGTCACTGTAGCCAAAGTATTAAAAATGTGCACTCTTGAAAAAAAGATGGTTCCTCAAGGGTTCTTTCATAAAGAAAATGGTTCTATATAGAACCAAGAACACTCAAAGAACCCTTTGCATGATTAACGGGTTCTTTGCATCATGATGGTGTTCTTCAGATCGATGGAGAGCGTGCTATAGATGGTTCTATTTAGAACCAATTTGATGAGGGTTCTAAATAACATCCAAAGGGGTTCTTCTATTGCTACAAGCTTAACATCATAACAATAGAAGAACCCTTTTGGGTGCTATATAGAACCAGTTTCAAAAAGGCTCTATATAGAACCATCTACAGCACATTCTTAAGAACCCTTTCATGATGCAAAGAACACTTTAATCATGCAAATTGTCCTTTGAGTGTTCTTGGCTCTATATAGAACCGTTTTTTTGCTAAAGAACCCTTGAAGAATGACCTTTTTAAGTGTGTAACAATAGAAGAATGATTTTGGGTGCTATATAGAACCCTTTTCAAAAAGGTTCTATATAGAACCATTTACAGAACATTTCTTAGGAACCCTTTCATGATGCAAACAACACTTTAGTCATGCAAACATAGTTCTACATAGAACGATTTTCTTTACTAAAGAACCTTTGAGGAACCCTCTGTTTTAAGAGTGGGTATGTGCTGTGCACACTTGATGGAGGCCTAAGCCTTCACGCTGAGAGATCATTGCTTTATAGTGGAGGACACAGCTAGCGCATATTGGACCCTTGTGAAATTCGCTAACCGCTGGAGTTATAATCATGAAATAAAATTAAATTAGAGCGCAAAAAAGAGCGCAGTTTGGATGTCTGCTGGCCTGCCAGTTGGCTAGATGTGCTACACCCTTAAAAAAGACGGTTCTTCTAGGCTTCTTTAGTAATGACAGTGGTTATATATAAAACCATAACACTCAGAGAATGGTTAAGTGGTTCTTTGCATGGTGAAATTATTCCTCAGATTGATGGGAGAATGTGTTGTATATGGTTCTATATAGAATATTTCTGAAAATGGTTCTATGTAGCACCAAAAAGGGTTCTGCTATTGTGACGATGTCAAGCTTGAAACAATAGAAGAACCTTTTTTGGTGCTACATAGAACCACTTTCAAAAAGGTCCTATATAGAACCAGATACGACACATTCTCCATCAATCGGGGGAAGCTTCTGACCATGCAAAGAACCTTTTAAGCATGCAGATGGTTCTTTGAATGTCAAGGTTCTATATAGAACCATTGTCTTTACTAAAGAACCCTTGAAGAGCCATCTTTTTTTTAACCCCTTAAAATCTCAGGCTTATTACTTACTAAGGTTTGTTATTCAGTAACTACAGGGACTTCAATGCAAACTGGCTGAGCTATTCTTAGACTATAGAAGTGTGTAATAGAACTTTAACTTTAAGGGGTTAAAAATGTACTTTGTCCAAACTTAACTAATTTTTCTTGTATAAAACAAAGGAACTTGCTGTCACTAAAGCTGATTGGACGTGCATAAACCCACTCTGGCTAGTGAAGTTAACATTTTGATGGGCTAATGTATGAAAAATGACACACACTATACTTTTTTCAGTTATTTTACTGTTTAAAAGAACAGTATACAAGTATGTTCTAGTTGATAATTGCATACTTTTCCAAAGCAGACAAGAAAATTTTCCCGATGCTGTGCCATAAATGAACCCTAACTGTCGCCCTCACTTCATCTGCTGGCACTCGCCCCCAAAACCTTTCATTTTTTCGTATTAGACACATCATGACTCATTGAAAATGGACATGTGGTAGAAAACATGTTGAAGATGAAGGACCGTACAGTCAGTTTGTTGTTCAGGGAGCTCTTCCATTTACTCCCATTCACTGACTCAGGTCCTCTGGTCTCCCTGCTCATGCTTTTCTCACCAAGGATTGCGGCGTCTCTCTGGGGGGGGAGGGTCTCTGGTTATGACTGTCAGCCCAGAATGCTTTTCAAATGAGGCAGCGGCCAATCAGAAGAGAGGTCTACCTATAACAGTCTTAAAGATACAGCCTGTTTATATCTGAGGGATAAAAGGTTAGCAAATAGTTTGTAAAAATGAACATTTTTTGTATATAAAACCACATACATGTCATAATTGAGCCTCAGTTGAACCTAAAAAAAAGTAAAGCATGGGCCATTTAAGGCAGCATGCTTTAAAACTATGGAAAATAATGTTAAACATGTTTGGACTACAGCTGGTTGCACTCTGAGACTCACTGTAACGTAATAAGATTACGTCATTGCCGTAGACTCATTGGAATCTCAATAGGATGCTGTCACATCGCTAGCACTAAATTAGCATATTTTCTTTTGCCGTTTTGGATAATGGAGAGGGTCCCGTGAAAAAATAGGCCTTAACCCCTTAAAATCCCAGACTTACATACTAAGTCTTATTATTCAGTAGCTACAGGGACTTCAATGCAAACTGGTTGAGCTATTCTTAGGTTATAGAAGTGTGTAATAACACTTTGTGCCCTGGCCATGTAAGAGGTTAAATTAGCAAAATGACTGCAGCTATTGCACTCATATTAATACACATGTAGGACTGTGCTGTGCACACTTGATGGAAGTATTTGTAAGAGCCTAAGCCTTCACTTGAGAAGGCACAGGTAGTGCATGTTGGACCCGTGTGAAATTCACTGCCGCTATTTTTCCAGTGTCTTTTTTTGGGTCTCTGTTTTTCTGGCACAGAGACAGTGACTTCATTGTGCTGGCACTATTAGAAGTGGCAGGGAAGAATGAAGCAGAGGTTATGGAGAGAAGCCACCCGCTGTCATGTCCAGCCTGGGCCTGGTGCTCGCAGCTAATCAGTGGTGTGAAGTTCCCTGACTGCTCCCCCACTTCTCCTTCCTCCTGCTTCGTTTCACTCGTATAAAGGACAGAAAGTGTCCTCCGCCTCTTCTTTCAAAACCATATTGTTATGTGGCAATCCATGACCACGATTAATAAAGCTAGTTGTTTGAGGCGTTTGGTAACGAGTGCAAGGGCTGAGGAAAAGACCTGCTAGCTATGTAACGATAATGGGTCATTCAAGCACTGCGGTGGCAAATGTTGATATTTGATTCAAATGTAAAATGTCTTTTATATTGAACAGTGGCAAGTTGCAACACCACTGACTGTAACGCCGCTGACCAAATGAGAAAGTCTGAGCTTTTCTAAAATGATACTTCAGTCACACTGAATGTAGAAAATGACAAATGTTGCAGTCATGTTGTTATTTTTCTTCATTTTTAAAATCATGTATTGTTTTGTGAGTCACACCAATGACACAACCTCTGGCTGATGTTGTGTTCTGACAATCATGTTAAAAGTTGTAACACCACTGTTGAAAGGTATAACACTGCTTACTAGGACAGCACCAACTGTAACACCACTGACAAAATTACTCAAACCTGAGCTTTTCTAAAGTGCCACTTTAGTTTCAAAGTCACATTGTATGTAGAAGATGACAAATATTGTACTCATTTTTAAAATTTAAGAAATGTTTCATGAGTAATAACACTGACACAGTCCGTTGCTGGTCATGTGTTCCGAGAATCATTATGTTGAACAGTAAACTCTACTGACAGTAACACCACTGATACATTCTGTGGCTGGTGATGTGTTCTGAGAATCATTGTTATGTTGAACAGCAAAGTTGTAGCACCACTGACTGTAACACCACTGACAAAATGACTAAAATCCGTGTTTTTCTAAATAAGCACTAAAAATGCAAAAAAATGCCATATATATAATTCATTTTTAAAATCTTTTTTAAACATCTTTATGTTTCATGAGAAACACCACTGACACAATCTATGGCAACATAGGAAGCTGTCAGTATTTAGTCAAATTGAACAGAAATGTAAGAAGATATTTCACCGTAATTCACGCAATTCACACAATTTTATTTAAAATTTTATGTTTTCAAATGTAATGTTTTTACATAATGTTTTTCCCATGACAAAGATGGGACAAGATTTCATCATCAAAATAAAATTAATTATATGTTTACAATATTTTAACTTAGGATATACAACAACTGAAATATCTTTGTAACTATTTACACTGAAAAGTAAGTATAAATTGCAAATTCATAAAAGGTAATACTTTAACGTCTGTGAAGTCACTGCTCCAACATGCTGTTTTTATGCACAACAACAACAACTAATAATCACTAAAACAATTCAACACGAGGAATGATCATAGCTTTTGTTTGTTAATTTAGGAACAGAACAAAGAATACACATCACCTTTGTGAGGTTTACGCTTATTTTGAGCTCATTTTCATGCCTTGCTGGATGCCATTTGCCACTGCAAAGGGAGAATGACCTCGGTCAGAAATGTAATTCTATGTTGTGGTTAATTCATTGTGCGTGCTACAAGGCAGTCGAATGCAAAAGTTTGTGTGCCTTTGGTCAAAAGACATGTTTTGCCGATTTTTTAACACATCCTCTACAGACTGCTAGTATCTTACACTAGTACAGCCTTTTCATCTACCTTCAAGAATATGGTTATTTGGCATTCCAGCAGACACCATCACCTCACTTTTATTGGCCTCATCATCAAACGCCTTCATTATAGTGGGAGGTGAATAGGGCCTGGAGGGTGAGATGTAAGAGGGGCCTGTTTTTGTCTCATCCAGTCTTTGTAGTTTCTTACTCCTGAATTAAGAGAGTAAGTTTGTGTTTGGTGTTGCCATGGAGACACACAGAGAGCTGCATGGCCGCTGGGGTCCGGGCAGGTGGAGGAGTTTCCCAGCCCTGTCACAGAGAGAGAGACAGAGAGAGGGACAGGGAGAGAGAGGGAGAGTTAAAGAGGATGAGAGAGAGGGGTGTGGCTGAGAGGGCCTGTTGGAGTGAGAGAAAACAGAGTGAGCTGAAAGAGAAGGTTCTCTAATGGGGCTGCCCCCAACAGGATTAAAGGAACACATACATCTCTCACGCACAATGGCTGCTTTCTCTTTTGCGCCTGTGAATGTGGATAACGCAGCATAGCGGCCTTTAGCGCTGAAAATGGTGAGCTAGCTGTGTTCGGGGGTATTGTAAGGTCAAGTTCTTTTTTATAAAGGCTTTTCTTCTTCGGGTCTCCACACTGAACCCCTTAAACCCTTTAAAAAACTCATTTTCACAGCCTTAGTCTGGTCTGACACCCAGGTCAGGGTAGCTAAGCAACACTTACTACAGCTCATTTCTGCAGTGTTCTCTTGCTTGGTAGATCTCAATTGACTGTTGGCAAATTCTGACAAGTTATGCCTCCTTTAGCTACACACTTAAAAAAGATGGTTCTTTAAGGTTTCTTTAGTAAAGACAATGGTTCTATTTAGAACCACGAGTTCCTCATAGAACCATTTCATGCTTAAATGGTTCTTTGCATGGTGAAATAGTTCTTCAGATGGTTCTATATAGCACCAAAAAGGGTTATTCCATAGTTACAAGCTTGGCATCGTAGCAATGGAAGAACCCTTTTTTGGTGCTAAATAAAACCATTTTCAAAAATGTTCTATATAGAACCATATACAACACTTCCTCTATCAATCTGAAGAACCATTTCACTATGCAAAGAACCTTTTAGAGCATGAAAGAATTGTGCATAAAAGTCATGGTTCTAAATAGAATCATTCCCTTTACTAAAGAGACCTTAAAGAACCATCTTTTTTAAGAATGAAGCTCAATATTCTAACAAAAGCAGAACCTTTTTTGGTGTTATACAGAACTAGGTTCCATATAGGACCACATACAACACATTCTCCATCAATCTGAAGAACCATTTCATCACGCAAAGAACCGCTTAAACATGAACTGTTTCTGTATAGAACCAAAGAACCTTAGAAGAACCATGTTTTAAAGTTTTTGCTGTTGCTATGTTGAAACTTAGCTCATGCTACCTAGCATTACTAGCACTTGTTCACCAATACAAAGGAAAATTTAGAAGCACAACAGTTTTTATTAAAAATTAATCTACTTTACAAGATGTTCAGTGCAGATATGATTTACATGTTTACAACAATAAGTTTTCATGTCTAATAAGGAGGTTTTAGTGATAAAAGCTACCCCTTCAGATATGCTAACGCTAAAGCTAGCTAATCAGAGCAAGCTGCTAGTTCACCTGTGCTGAGGAGGACTTTTAGTCTTTTACTGAAGGTCTTTTGGCAAACTTTAATGAAACACTACAAAGAATGGCATGTGTACAAGTGCATTAATATTCATCTGTATACTGATAAATGTCTTTAATCACAGATATGAGCACTGTACAGTTGAAGCTGGCTTATTAAGCTAACTATTATGAAGCCAACTAGTTAGATAACTTATCTGAACATTGTTCTGTAAAGTTGTCATCAGACATTAAATTATATGATTTTTTAGCAAATACAGTAACCCAGATAAAGTTTAGCTTAACCATTAGCGCTAGCATAAGGCTGTCTGTTGAGAGTTTTAAAACTGAGCTGTGAGTTTGATCTTCCACACAAATGAATCCAAATGTTCTTGAGCTTCAGGAATGAAATAAAGACACCACCACAATCTAGATCATAAGGATAGCATGTGTCAGGGCTTATATGTCCCCCAGCACCTTTCTACCATCCCTTAGCCTAATGATCCTGAGTAATTTACTGCCAGTGCTGTTCTCACTGCAGGTTTGTTCTGAGTAGTTTTATCAGAGTTTTTTTTTGGAGAGTTCAGAGTTATCAGAGCATTTAGAGACGATTCTGATTGCCTGAGAAGCGTGTCAATTTTATAAACAATCAATTATGCAGAGTATGACTATGAAGTCTAGCTTCCAGTTCTCACACAGCTTGATCTTGAGGCACAGCTGGGTTCTTGTGAAACGCTCATCCGCTCATGAACAGTACCAGTACAAGTTCACGAGGGCAGCCGGAGTGGTACTGCACTGCTGGAGAACAAGGAATTGGCTGATAGCTAGAAGTTTTTCATAGAGCTTGTTCAAGGTTTCTGGCCCCCCATATGTTTCCCATAACCTTATGCATCATAGCTATACATTATAGGAGTTCTTCGGCTTGGGCGTTCTTCAGTTCTTCAAACATTAGCCCCCCTCTCACATTCACTCTTTAATGAATTATGGTGCTACACTCTTAAAAATAAAGGCGCCAAAAGGGTTTTTGAATAACCATAGAAGAGCCACTTTTGATTCCCTAAAGAACCTTTCAGTGAATGGTTAAGAACCTCTACATAATGGTGTAAACTGGTGTAGAACCATTATATTGTGTGAAGTTCTGAAGAGTAACCTAAAGTTGTTCTTCTATGGAATTGCTCAAAGGATCCTTTCTAGTTTGCATCACTAGTTGCCAGGTGGAATATGACCAAAGGTTCGCCACCAAGCTACCAAAAAATTGCTAAATAAACATTTCTTCTCTCCAGGTATGGCAGCACTTGACAGCCGCGCTTCAGGGAAGATGGGCATGCGAGCTGTGATTTACTACATGACCACCACGTTCATCGCTGTGTTTATCGGCATCATCATGGTCCTCATCATCCACCCAGGCAAAGGCTCCAAGGAAGAGTTCACACAGCAGCAGAAGATTGAGCAAGTCAGTCCAGCCGATGCCTTCCTGGACCTAATCAGGTACTGCATGAAGGACACTAGCACGAGTGGAACTAGGGATATGGGAATTGTGGGCTGATGCCAATATCCAAATCTAAACATCTGTTCATTGCCAATAATGTTTTAAGCAATTATCCACTCAAACCGATATGATTCCATCATTATTGTGCTTCCCTAGCTGGAACTGTTGTCTTAATGATGTTTTGCACTGTGTTCTATGGTTTGAGATCTATAGCTGATAGTCTTCGTGGTCTTTCTTTTTCAGAAACATGTTTCCTCCCAACCTGGTTCAAGCTTGCACGCAGCAGGTATGTAGGCCTACTGGGTAGACGTTTTTACTCACTGATGTAATTCATTTTCTCGGTCAGTAGACATCTTCTCAAGACCTCAATTTATGGCTACACAACACTATGGTCTGGTGAGGGGACAGTGTTTGGGGGAAGTCACTATGTATTATTCTCCAAAAGAGTTTTTTCTTTGTACTTTGGTCCCCCGTTGTGCAGGAAACCAGTTTCTCATCAGATTTAATGAGGCAGTGCTTTCTGGCCTTTCAGAGGCCACACAAAGAGCTTGCCAGAGAATACATTATCACCCTTGGATACGCACTACTTGTGAGGATGCCTTGGCTTTTTTAACCATGCAGTCATTTGTTACCACCATTGATGAAGTATAGTCATTTTTCATACTGGTCCAAAATGGTTAACTTCAGATATTAGGAAGGGAGGTATGAGAACCAATGGGCAGTTCGATGGTTTGGGTTGTAAGTTTAAGAGGACACAGCTGTGTTTTGGATTTGTTCGGGTAGAACTTTGGCAGGACAGCGGCAGTGCCATGGTTGGATGTTATGGGGGGGTGGGTATGGAAACCAAGAAAGGGGGACTGCTGGGACCACACAATGCCATGGAAGACACTGACAGTGAGGACAGACGCTGTGGTCCGGACATTCTCCCCAGGGAAATATCGGCGCCAGCTGGATCTAAGAGAATGCACTTTGCAGACATTAATAGAGAATATTGTCTTATTCATGGTTATGGAGATTTACCCAATCTGGATATAGGTCTCAGTTTGGTTTAAAGACTGATGTGATTCACATTTACCCCTAGTAACAGGCAGTTAGTGTATCCAAGACAAAGGGTCTATGGTTTATAGGTTTACCCATCGGTAAAATCTCCATAATGCACAGCCTTAAGTGGCTTATTGCTTTTATAAACTGGCAACATGGTAAAATATGACAAAATACACAAATGTTCAATACATAATTTTAGCTTTAATTCATAATATTCTTAATAAACAACTCTCTTACCAAGAAATGTAGTTCATTTACAGTTTGCTAGTGTTGCTAAGCAATTGTGGACTGCTAAAGAAGGCCAAGAACTTTTAGTTACCCATCATTATATATTGCAGTCAATTCACAACCATTTTGGCCATATATTACACTATAACAGTGTGTAATGTACAAACATTTACCTATTACCTATTACTTATGATAGTTTTTGCTCATCAAAGTACCACAACAATGATCATTCTAATTTCTGCTAGCACCTCTATGTGATTTCCTTTTTTGGGTTAGCAACAAGCTAACAGAGATGCACTTTCATTTTTGTAGTGAACCGATCAATAAATACTTCAATTCAAAATACTTTAAATAATGGAGGAGCAGTTTACCCTGCTATCTTTTAGCCTGTTTAGCTTGCTATCTTTTAGTTGTTGAGAAATAAGTTGCCAACCCCATCCGTTCAAACAAAACCAGGTTCTACACTTGCTGGTCCTTGTGAGCAGAAGAATACAGAACAATTATGGTTTTTAGAGGCCAGCAAAACCAGCATATGATGCGTTTTGGACACTTGTATGCTAATCTGCAGCAATGGAAACTGTTATGTTGATCACCCCTAAAACCAGCATTTGTTGTGTTTTGGACAGTGGTATGCTAGTCAAGCAGAATGACCATTGCTGGGTGTCCAGCTAAACCACCGCCAGCACCAGTTTTCAGCAGAGTAGTACAGAATTCAGTTGCTGTGAGGCGGTCATAGATGTGCATATTTCAAGTATTTTACAAAATGAATCCCAACCTCAGGAATGCTCTCAGTTCCTACCAACAGGCTGTTCTTTGAGAAGAAGAGAAAGACTCTTCCTAGCCCTGTATCCTGTCCATGTTTCTAATTCTGCATGTCTCTTCTCTTTTCCTATAGTTCAAGACACAGTACGGCAAGAGGGTCATCAATGTGAAGGTGATAGTGAATGAAAGCATTTTTAACCTGACCAACGCCACTCAGGAGATTACCCGCGAAGAGATAATACCAATCTCTGGCACCACCAGTGGTGTCAATGCCCTGGGGCTGGTAGTGTTCTCCATGTGCTTTGGCCTGATCATTGGAAATATGAAAGAGGAGGGCCAAGCCCTCAGGGACTTCTTTGACTCCCTCAATGAGGCCATCATGCGCTTGGTTGCTATCATCATGTGGTGAGTATTAAGACGGTCAATGTGAGTGGGCAGGCATTTCGTTGGTTGTAGGATGCATTGAAAAGGCCTGCATTGCATTATTACACTGAAACTTTCGTGCTGTTCCTTTGAAACATTTGGAAGTCTGTTTTCCATTCACACATTAATCCCCGTCCAGAAGTAAATTACTTTGTTAATGGTCATTCTAAACTGAAAACGGCCAGATTGTGTCCTCGATGTTCCTCGAGACAAATTTAAAAACCACTAATACCTGACAGTGTTTCAGTGAGATGATCTTTCCTGGCAGTTATTCATTGGTCACCTCTTTCCCTTTTAAGGTATGCACCCATTGGTATCCTCTTCTTGATCGCTGGCAAAATCGTGGAGATGGATGATATCACTGAAATGGGAGGTCAGCTAGGCATGTACACTGTGACGGTCATCATAGGCCTCCTCATCCATGGCATGGTTGTTCTACCCACCCTGTATTTTGTCCTCACAAGAAAGAACCCTTTTATCTTCATCACTGGTTTACTGCAGGCCCTCATCACCGCCCTGGGCACATCATCCAGGTAGGACTCAAGAGCCACTTCTCAGACGGAACATGTCAAAGGCTCATGTTTTGAAACTCAAGCCTTGTTTACCTTCTTTTGCCTTTCGCAGTTCAGCCACGCTGCCCATCACGTTCAAGTGCTTAGAAGAGAACAACAAGGTTGATAAGAGGGTGACCCGGTTTGTGTTGCCGGTGGGCGCTACCATCAACATGGACGGAACAGCACTGTATGAGGCACTGGCAGCTATCTTTATCGCCCAGGTTAACAACATGGACATGAACTTCGGGCAAATCATAACCATTAGGTGAGCATATATTGGATACATTTTGCTTTCTACACCTCACTGAATGGCTTTCACCTTCACGATTCGGACCCAAGAACTGGCAAAACAACTTGGCTAGCATGTAGTTTTTCTAGCAAGTATGTTAGCTTGTGCACTAGCTAATCTTACTGAAGTTTTAGTAAACGTACTAAAGTTCCAGCTCGTTAATTTCTAGCTTGTGTGCTAAAGGTTTTTTTCTATAAAATAACTGAGAGTTTTAATATGAGTTTACTTTTGTACAGTGCAGTAGCTGCAGCTAAGACTAAACTAAAATTCACAAGACTAAACTAAAATTCTCTGCTAAAGATTCAAGGCTTGGTTCGCATTCACACCCCTGAGACTTGAGACTCAACTCAGACTCGCATGGATCGACATGTGAACATCTGTGATGTCTTTAAAGTACATGTCTCTCATCTCTGAGAATGTGCTCAACTATATTGTTTCATTCTCGGCTTTGGAGATATTCCCAAATGGGAAAATTCAGTTTGGTTTAAATTCTAATGTTATTCACATTTGCCATTTGGTGGTTATAAAGGTTGGTCATTGGTCACTCTGTTGTACACTGCATAGGACAATGAAATTAAAGGATATTACCTATCCATTTGAGTGCTACTCCGCACTAAAGAATGCAAAGTAGGGCAGATTAAAATTAAGTTACATCTCATACATTGATCCCAAATGAACTGAATGACATACATATCAGAAGTCATAATATACTATCATCCAGCTGTACACTGAATAGGACAGCATAAATAAGTTATAAGAATATTGTCTGTCCATTTGTTTGTTTGGACCACTTTTTAAATCATTAAATGTTCCACATGTTGCACATTACAACCTTTATTGCAGTTCCTTGACATTTCAGTAAGACAGTCTCTCTGTTTAAATGCTGTAGCATCACTGCCACTGCTGCCAGTATCGGAGCAGCTGGAATCCCCCAGGCTGGTCTGGTCACCATGGTGATTGTGCTGACCTCTGTAGGACTCCCCACTGATGATATAACCCTCATCATTGCAGTCGATTGGTTCCTGTGAGTCCACACCTTCCTTTTATTACATTTGAATCCTTTCAATCTGTCATAACTTATTGGATATATTGTTATATTGGAAAAGATTTAGACCTTAATCGACAACAATGTATCTGATATATTACAGCTACAGTTTTGCTTCAAAACTCGTTTCCTACATTACGTCCCCATCTGATGTTAGATTCTTTTTCTATATCTACCCTAGTGACACACTTATATAAGCTCATGGGTCTTGCTCCATTTTTTTCCCAGCAAATTTCATGTCATTTCAATTGGTTTTAACATAGAAACGTAATTAGGTTAGCCAAATTAATCATTCCAAATAGAATCCCCTTACCATAAATTACACAGCTAATTGGATGTGAAAAAATCTTAGTTCCTAAACTGGGATGGATAAACTGAAAAGAAAGTGCACGTTATCACTGCTGGATACATCCATGTGCACTCACTATTCTCTTTATTAGAAACCCCTATTTTGTACTTTTAGTCACTGACCTCTTATATATCACCTTACGTGTCCAATGTAGGTGTACAATTGCAGAATGTAGTCCATCTGTTTGTAAGCTGCCCTCCACAACATTCATCACTGGTCAGGGTCTGATCACAACCATTCTCAGCTCAACAGTGACAATAACATAATAGTGGTCAATTCTAGGTTAAGAGCTGTCCACCACGCAGATAGATCTAGCCAAGAGCCGCTATGTTGTCAGAAACTGACCAATGATAAAAGGCAGGAGGATGGCTCACACTAACTGTGAACAATACAGTGCTAAAGATATATTTTTTCACTTTAAGAGTCATCTCATCTAGACAAGCTGTCTTCTTTCACGTAAAAATGTCTAGAAATAAGTTAAATAATCCTATAACACTCTTATAATATTTTTATACATCTCAAAATCAGAAACATTACACATTTTCACTGAATTTAAGATGATTTCACTTGCTGAGATACACTACATGGCCAAAAGTATGTGGACACCTGACCATCACACCTCAGTGAGACTGTTGGATATCCCATACCAAAACATCAGCAATAACATGGGGATGTTTGTGGCTACAACAGCCCCCACTCTGGGGGGAAGGATTTCCACAAGATTTGTGAAGGAATTTGTGCCTATTCAGTCAAAAGAGCATTTGCGAGGCCAGGCACTGATGTCGGACAAGAAGGCCTGGCTTGCAATTGATGATCCAGTTCATCCCAAAGGTGTTCAGTTAGGTTGAGGTCAGGGCTCTGAGCAGGCCACTGGAGTTTCTCCACATAAGGCTCATCAAACTTGTCTTTATGGACCCCACTTTCTGCACAGGGGTGCAGTCATGCTGGAAAAGCAAAGGACCTTCCCCAAACTGAAAGCATGTAATTGTCTAAAATGTCTTTTTTTACTGTAGCATTAACATTACCCTGGCAGGTTGCGTTCTCCCGGCATTTACCAAACTCAGATTTGTCCATCAGACTGCCAGATAGTGAAACATGATTCACCGCTCCAGAGAACACGTTTCCACTGCTTCATAGTCCCGTGGCGGTGAGCTTTACACCACTCTAGCTGACACTTGGCATTGCGCATAGTGATCTTAGGCTTTATGTACAGCTGCATGGCCATGGAAACTCATTTCCTGAAGCTCCTGATGCACAGTTTTTGTGCTGAAGTTGCTTGCAGCTGTTGTTTGGAAGTGAATGACTCAGCATCTCCGCTCCACACTTAAAGTCACTGAGCTCTTCAGCATGACCCATTCAACTGCCACTGTTCATCTATGGAGATTGCATGGCTACGTTACCCATGGGTTTGGCTGAAACAACTCAAGTCAATATTAAGAAGGGGTTTCCACATGCTTGTGGCCATATTATGTACACCACACTGTACACCATAGGCCATAGGTCTTTCAAGGGAGGTGTTTCCAATAACGACACACACATATATATAATCATACTGAGAAACTATCCTTTATTATACTTTTAAACTTTTTTAATATATTATTTTCTCTCATGCTCTCTGCTCTGTATTGACCTGGCCTACAGGGACCGGTTGCGCACAACGACCAACGTCCTGGGAGATTCAATAGGAGCGGGCATCATAGAGTTCCTGTCAAAAGACGAGCTGCAGAACGGCGATGTGGAGATGGGAAACTCTGTAGTAGAGGAGAACGAAGTGAAGAAGCCTTACCAGATGATCCCTCAAGAGAACGAGTACGAGAACGAGAAACCTCCAGACAGCGAAACCAAGATGTAGTGACTCCCAGTCCTCCTGTAGTCCATGCCCAGGCAGGGATTTTACTTGCGTGCGTGTCTGTGCATGTGTGTATGTGTGGGCATATGAGCTTAAGCACTGAAAAAAAAAAAGCGATGCATTAAATTAACTTGATTCAAATGTGTATTTCATTTCCACCCAATTAAAATATATTACATCTACACAATTTTGTATTTTAGTGTAGGGAACACTTTAGCCAAAAGGAAGAATGTAGCCACTGCTGCATCTGCTGTAAACATGCCAACATCACCTCATATAGCAGTGCCACAATAGTCTCAAGATTGATAAGCTGTATATCAGAGCATGCTGGGAATTGTAGTATGTGAATGTTGATTGATGAAAACGCAAAAAGAATACAAAATTGTGAATTCTGTCAAACTGATGAGGTTAAGGGGGTGTAATTCTGCATTTCAGAGTTAGCTGAAAATTCTTTGTTTTAGTCGCCCCATTAAATATTATTAGCAATAATATTCAGAAATGCTGGGCATATTTGAATCCTGTAAATTCAATGCATGACTTTTTCAGCCTGTGATGACTGTTATTCCTGTTTTTCATTGGCTACTTTTGTTCTTTGCCGTTCCCTTTTGAATTACGTGTTTAGTAATAGTGTCTGATATCTCTATTGTTAATTCAGTGTTCTGTTATACTGCACTGGTCACTACTCCTGGGCCGCATGTCAATCACCGAACATCAGAATGTGGCCTATGTGAAAATATTCAGTAATTTGAGAACTTTTTAGTTAAACCGAGACTGGACACAATGTCGAAATGTTCCTCAGATTGGAATTTGAATGTTTGGCACTGAAGATGGTTTAGAAAGGTGAAGCGAGATGGTCTGAAGAATGGAAAGTAGGACATGTGATTAAAACAATTGTGTTTAGCCACATATATGGATGTCAGAGTATCTGAAAGCTCTACCAAGAAGTTAATGTCTGTTTGGTAATTGGATGGACATGTCCACCATCCTTGTCCAAAGTATCATGCTGGGGGGTGGGATGTCCAGCAGGATTCTGACCAAAATACAGATTTTATGTCTGAGATGGATGGTTAGTCCATCCAGGTAAAATTTTCCAATCACTAATTTACAAAATCAGTTTCAAATATTGCATAATAGGCAGTTCCCTTCTTTTACTGGGGTACGTTTCCTTCTCAGAGACTCCACGAAACGCCACTGTGTTCAAAGACAAGTGTATTTCGCCCTTCTTTAAGTTCCTATGCTGTGCGTTTTCCTTTATTGTCGATGCTGGAAGAGCCAGAATGTTCACATTTTGTTATAAACTTCAGTGCAAAAGTCAGAGACCATCCTTCATTTATTTACTTTCCAGTCAAAACGGACTCTAAGTACAATTAATTCATTTTTTCAGAGTCAGGAAAAAAGCAGAACACATTTATTTAACAGAAAACGGCCTCAGCAACTAAATATCAGATTTTTCAGTATTTAGTGAGCAGTGTTTCCCTTTAATACAGCTTCCATTCTTTTCAGGAGACTCGCTTTCAGTTTGTCAAAGAAATCTGCAGGGATATTTTTCCACACATACAAAGTTCAGTCTTAGAAGCTGGTTGTATTTTCTGCTTCTCTTAGACTCATCAGTCCAAACACCACTCACTCCACATTTCAGATGACATCTTTTGTTGTTCTATTCTTCTTCCTCTTGTCCTTCTTCTTTTTTAATGTTTCCTTTTCTCAGGAATGGCTTTTTGACAGCTACACATCCTTTCAGACTCATAGCGCTGAGTTGTCTTCTCACAGTAGAAGGATGGACAGAAACACCTTATGTTTTCAGATCCGAATCAAGAGTGGAGCTTGATTTTCTCCTCTCTCTAAGATGAAAGCTGTAACTGTTTACATGGGGACAGCGTTGGTGGTCGACTAGGTCTTTCAGGTGGTTATTAGGAGTCCCATCTTCTCTGGATCATTGTTTATCCTTTTTTGAGCATTTTTTCACTTCATGTTTCACTTCATGTTTCCCCTTTCTTACAACAGTGGATTATTTTACATCTAATGTCCTCAGAAATATCTCCTGATAAAAAGAATGTCTTGTACTTAACGGCTGTTTTGACTGAAAGCTAAAAATAAATGAAGGGTGGTCTCTGATTTTTGCACAGTACTGTACATATTTCTATGCTGATTTCTTTATTTTTCCCTATTGTTCTGTAGGATGTCTTGGTAGCATTGAAAGATTGTCCTTTTGCTGCCGTTTGCTAACATAAATAGAGGATATTATGAATATATGTAGATGCTTTTATTAATTGTAGATATTATGAACGACTGTTTACTTGAAGTTTACTCCTGAGAAAGTCTCGAGCCAGAGCGTTCTGTCGGTCTGAGAAATGGGTGAATTCAGCGTTACAGACACAGCCATGCTGACTGGATACTAACTCACTCAAATGGAAACTGTGATTTTGCTTTTCTTTTCCGTGTCGTGCTCATTGGGATGATGTTCACCTTGCTGGATATTTGCCCTTAGATTCACACAAAAAGTACGGTTTAAATGTGGTTTAAAATCTACATGGGTTAAATGAAACTGTAGGTTTGGCTATGGTAAATATAGTTTTGAATAAAAGTGGGAAAAGGAAACACATTGCCTGTATTTTACTGACTAACAGAATTGTTGATCTCATCACCATGGATAATGGGTTTGTGTGCAGAAACAGAATAAAGCTATATAATATAAATATAAGCACTGTTAAAGACATATTCCCTCACATTGCAAATAATGGTATCTCATCAAGTGAAATGATCTTAATATATCTAATATATCTAATATTTCCCATTTTGAGATGGTTGTGTGCTTATTATAAGATTATCTAGCCTATTTCTAGACATTAATTACTTGTTTTAGGTCATTTTATCAAGTAAAATTGGTTTCTCATGTCTTACAACAAGTAGAATTATCTGCCAATATAGTGAGATAATTTTACTTAATAAAATCACTTAAAACAAGTGAAAATGTCTAGTAATAAGGTAAATAATCTTAAACTAAGCTTACAACAATCTCAATACAAGAAATATTAGAATTATTGACTATATTCAAGGTAAGTTTACTTGACAAGATATGATTTTTTGCAGTGCATTAGAATTTATTGAGAGTTCTGAAAGTATTGGTAGCTAAAGCACATCAACAGTCTGCATATTTACATTTACATTTACATCATTTAGCAGACGCTCTTATCCAGAGCGACTTACAAAAAGTGCTTTGTCTATCCAGAGAAAGTATCTTTGCTAGTTACCAATAGGTTAGAGAGAAAGCCAGTCCTGAGCTCAGATACTGCTAGAATCAGAAAGTCATTGACACCTAGTGAAAAAGGAACAGAGTTAAACACAGAGCAGTACAATACAATACATAAGTGCTGTACAATACATTACAATCAATATTTAATTAATATGCATATAGACTGTCTACCACTGATAACAATCAAAACAAATAGTTTTTTAACAAGTGCTTATAAAGTCATTAGTATTATTATTATTAAAAGTAGTAGTAGTTGTTGTAGTATTAGTAGTAGTAGTAGTAGTAGTAGGTATTAGTAGTAGTAGTAGTAGTAGGTATTATTATTATTAGTAGTAGTAGTAGTAGTGGTAGTAATAAGGGAAAGCTGGGCACAAACTAACGTAGTAAAGTCCAACATGGATATTTTACGTAGTTATGTGTTGAATGTAGAATGTGCTTTTAGCCATCTTCTCATATCCCCCTAGCAAAGTCATCTAAGAATTTTGACAGCAATCTGACAGATATTTCTCAAAATTCATAATTTTTCTTTACGTATATTGTGTGAATAAGACCTATATTATTTTAATTACCCTCTTGGTGGCTGTAATATAGCACTGTTTGAAGAATACTATATACTCCACTAACAGTGAAAAGGCAAAAGTATAGACCTACATTGTGGAGTTTTACTGCAGTGGTACAACTAAGCTTCCCAAAGTAAACAATGAGAGATTTCCATACTCCTCAATACACATTTAAAAACAATGATTCATTTCATGTTTTCATGGTTCTTTGCATGGTGAAATGGTTCTTCAGATTGATGGAGAATGTGTTGTCACTCTTAAAAAAGATGGTTCTTCAAGGGTTCTTTAGTAAAGAAAATGGTTCAATATAGAAACATGAACACTCAAAGAACCTTTTGCATGATTAAAGGGTTCTTTGCATGAAAGTGTTCTTCAGATTGATGGAGAATGTGCTGTAGATGGTTCTATATAGAACCTTTTTAAAAATGGTCCTGTACAGCACCCAAAGGGTTCTTCTATTGTCATGGTGTCAAGCTTGTGACAATAGACGAACCCTTTTTGGTGCTATATTGAACCATATACAACACATTGTCCCCCAGTCTGAAGAACTATTTCACCATGCAAAGAACAATTTAAGCATGAAACGGATCTATAAAGAACTCATGGTTCTAAATAAAACCATTACCCAAAAAAAGATTTTTCTATTGTTATGATGTCAAGCTTGTAACAATAGAAGAACCCTTTTGGGTGCTATATAGAACCCTGATGTGGTGGTGGTGTGTTAGTGTGTGTTGCGATGGTCTGAGTGGATCAGACACAGCAGTGCTGCTGGAGGTTTTAAACACCTCAGTGTCACTGCTGGACTGAGAATAGTCCACCAACCAAAAATATCCAGCCAACAGCGTCCTGTGGGCAGCGTCCTGTGACCACTGATGAAGGACTAGAGGATGACCAACACAAACTGTGCAGCAGCAGATGAGCTATCGTCTCTGACTTTACATCTACAAGGTGGACTGACAAGGTAGGAGTGGACAGTGAGTGGACACAGTGTTTAAAAACTCCAGCAGCACTGCTGTGTCTGATCCACTCATACCAGCACAACACACACTAACACACCACCACCACATCAGTTACTGCAGTGCTGAGAATGATCCACCACCCAAATAATACCTGCTCTGTGAGGGTCCATGGGGGTCTTGACCACTGAAGAACAGGGTAAAAGGGGGCTAACAAAGTATACAGAATATTAG